TGTGAGGGAATACTGATTTGTTACAGGACAAGGTTATATCGATCTATTAGTAAGAGGGGATGATGGTGGGAAAAACAAACAGGATGCAAACAACTCGCCGAGGGAAGGTAAAGGAATCATGTATCCTTAGTGCGTGAATCATTTTGGGTGGAGATACAAAAAGGTTTAACTTACAGAACCGTGAGTTGACAGTTAACTTTGTTAATCCCGGTAACAAAACATTTTGTCAAGTGAGAAAGAGGTAACAAGAAATGTCAGCGCACATGGATTGATTGGCATGCCCCCTCCACAGTGGTTTGGTATATTCTCAAAACGCGTGCTGAACAATTTTTCCTGCTCTTTATTGCTACCGGCAAAACCTAAAACTGTCGAGAATACTGCAGGGGGGGACATGTTAAACGAACGAATTGTTATCTCAGATGGCGAAACAACTGATAGTGTTATACCTTCTCCCCACACGGTTTTAGGTACTTCAGTGCTACGTCTGTGATGAAACAAATTACTAATAAGAATAGTTTGTTAATGAAAATTAAAATATTTTAGGCAACACAAAGCGCACTCAGGCAGGACAATGGGGAGTGGATGTCCGCCACCTTTGGCAATATTTTCATGGAAGTCGTCATGTGAAGTCACCAGACGCACGTAAGCCCCGGGTACCCGGTGATGTAATGCCAAATGTTGGAACAGAAAGAGTAGCCAATAATTTGAAGTTAACTCTAGCAGGTGCTTTTGTTACTCCAACGCAACCAACAGTACCGCCAGGGTCTTCCTCCTCATCTAATGGCACATTATCTACTAACGGGAGTTCGTCTGATGAAATAGTGGTGGATTCTGAGTATCAGCATAACACGGCTATCTCCCTAACTGGTACTACAAACTGTATATTAAACCTCAAAAACTGTAGATATGTGTCATCATAGTTGCCCATTTTTAAATAAAAGGGTTCTGCAGGTGACGATATGCGCCCTCAAATCTTGGAAGGGATTCCTGTTCTTCAAGGAAATAATGATTTGCGTATTGGCGGGAACAGGGTTGGTGTTAGTGTGGTGGGGTCTCGCGACAAGGGAAAAGGCATAATAGATGAAAATTCTCCTATTTTTGCTAACACTGTAATCCCCGAAAAACAACCGATTCGGTTGGACAATCTTCAGCCACCATTGGCGGAGGTTCGGGTAACACCGGTTATGCATGAGCGTGATGCGCCCCCGTATTTCGACGACCCCATTGGGGAAGGTATATATCGTTAATTAGGTTATCTGATAACTACGTTAATAAAGTTATCTAATAAATTGTAAAAGTTATCTGATAATTACAGATGCTTTAGTAGGAGCTTTAGTACGAGCTTTAGTACGACATTGTAAAAGTTATTTAATAAATTGTAAAGGTATCTAATAAATTGTAAAAGTTATCTGATAACTATTTTGGTTATCGCAGATGCTTTAGTACGAGCTTTGCACGACATTGATTATGAAGGCGATGATATATTTCTGGGCCGGGTCTTCAAAAACAAGGAAGACTGCAAACTGAAGCTTCACATCCACGCCATCAATAACAAGTTCAACTTTAAGTACGACAAATCGTGTCCCAACGTAGTCGTCATAATCTGCGTAGGTGAAACATGTCTTTGGCGCGTGTATGCAGCCCGTATAGAGGGTAGTGTTAGATATGAGGTGCGTAGCGTTCACCTGGAACATACTTGCAGTGTTGATGTTAGAGGGAACTATCACCGCCAGGCGACATATACTGTTATTGGTGATTTAATGCGAGCAAAGTATGGTGTTGAAGGTAGAGGACCACGTGCATTTGAGCTGCGTCGGCTTTGCCGACAAAAATTTAGCCTCCACATTAGCTACTGGAAAGCTTGGAGAGCACGAGAAATAGCTATGGATCGTGCTTTGGAGTCTGCAATGGGAAGTTACGCATTGGTCCCAGCGTACTTCAAGCTCTTTTTGGAAGCTAATCCCAACTCGGTCGTCGGTCTTAAAACAGAGACAGATCCGTCTGGTGTTGAGCGTTTTAAATACTTGTTCTTCTCTGTGAATGCATGCGCAAGGGGGTATAGGTACATGCGCAAAGTCATCGTGATAGATGGCACCCATCTTCGAAACAGATATGACGGATGCCTTGTAGCTGCCAGCGCACAGGACGGTAACTTTCAAGTGTTCCCTCTAGGGTTTGCGGTTGTTGATAGCGAGAATGACGATGCATGGGAGTGGTTTCTGTGGAAGATGACAGAAATTGTTCCCGACGAGCCAGATTTGGTGTTTGTCTCAGATCGCCATTCATCAATTTATACCGCGATTCGTAAGGTTAGTCTCCTAATAGCCATAAAATCATATTATCAATGATGGATAGAACTATGTTATCTCATAACAAAGTTATGGTTATCTATGTTATCTCCGTAAAGCTATAAGCCATCCTAGTTTAGCAATAGTAATTTAAACCAAAAATTAACGGTGTCAAAGTTATCCGGGTAGTTATCAGATATATTCGTACCAAGGTGACGTTAACTAAATTTACATTACAATGCTATTAGTATACCGACCCAGTGTTTACTATTAAAAAGCTATCATTATTATCAGTTAATTGGTAAACAAATTTGTTGATAGGTTTACCCGATGTCTTCACATGGCGCATGTATTGTCCATTTGCAACGAAATATGGTGACCAACTTTAAATCAGAAATGCTGTGTGAGTTGACATCCCAGGCAGGCCGTGCATACCGTTTGAGTGAATTCGACAGGATTTTCGAGGAGATAAGGAATACCGACCCAGAATGCACAGCGTATCTAGCGAGGATCGGTTTCGAGCATTGGACACGGTCACATTTCGTTAGTGATCGATACAACATCATGACTAGTAATATCTCGGAATCGCTATACAATGTGCTAACTATGGCTCGTGATTTTCCGGTAATCTCCATTCTGGAAACAATTCGGACAACGTTTGTTTCATGGTTTGCACTAAGACGTGAAGCGGCCAACAAGGACACAGACATCGTGAACCCGAAGGTGAAGGAAATGATGATGGAAAACTTCAAGAAATATGCGGGTTATTTCGTAATGAAGATAGAGGACGGCATATATAAAGTTCGCGACGCAATGGATATTGCATATGCTGTTCATTTGTGGGAGCAATCTTGCACCTGTAGAGCGTTCCAACTACTAGGGATACCTTGCGAACACGCCATTGCAGCAGGTATTAGGGATGGGGTTCGAGTAGAGACTCTGGTCAACGTCCACTACACCGTTCAATATCGCAGACTCGCGTATGAAGCAATGATAATGCCAGTGCCCGACATGAACACCCTGGAACGTACTACTAATGAGTCTGGCAAGGTGAGGCTCGGCCCCCCCAATGTCCGTCGTCCCCCCGGAAGACCTAAAAAGACACGTATATTCTCTAAGGGTGAATTCAAGGTAAGTAAAAAAATAGAAGCAGCTGTGGAATTGTTTTTTTTTTTTTAATCTGGGTTGTGATAACATAGTTAACTGCAGAGAGTGGCGAGGCGTCGTTGCACAAGATGTCGTGTCCGTGGCCATAACAAATCCACTTGCAAGGGCCCCATACCGGTACGCATGTGACGTATAGTTCAATACATATCCTGTTTGGTTGCCCAACGTATAAAAATTTGGTGTGTACAGTTAAAGCGGTAATTTTGTGCTTACAGGAAACTTAAAACAATGGTGGGGGATAACTTGCAGTTTTGTTGTATATAGCGGCAACAACTTCAACAGGCTAGAAGATGTAAAATACGGACAAGGTTGGGTGTTAAGTAAAGTTGGTATAAGTGATCACCTTTTGTTGTGTAATATGATCGCTAAGTTATATAACTTTTTGAATTGAGTTTGAGATGATCCCTTTAGCTAATATACAACAGCCCTGGGTCATATTGCCAACTTAGTTCTTTTGTACGTTGCTTGGGCAGCTTCTAATCATTGTAATATTCATTTGCATCTTTTGGTTGGAACCCACTTTCCTGTGATATATGCAATGCTCTTATGGTTTACTAAAAGCAAATTTCTCTTTCTTATATCGAACAGAGTTAATGCTAACCATATTATCGATAAAAGGAGATTTGTGTTAACAATATTATCAGCCATATTGTTAACACAACTCTGATCTTATCTAAAATACCTGATAATATTGTTAACATTATCATGTATATTGCCAACGATGGGGTTTTTTTATCTAAATCAAAACTATGGGAATGAATGATTAGCTACAATAGTGAAGAGTGTTAGACCGCTTTACTCAAACCTAAAACTCTACCTTGTAATTAGTTTCCGATATGACGTATACTTGCTACACACACATAAGGTTTACGTAGTAAAATGATAACTGCCCAAATTAGGATCTAATGTGGATACATGTTCTACGTAGTTTTAAGTTAACAATATTGTAGGACAATCGTAAAATGCTGATAAAAAGTCAAGTATGTTGAATTGCAAGAATTAGCTGATTGATGGGAACCTGCATGCTTAGAACGAGGTAACAGTATGCTTAAAAAGTGATGGTTAACTATTAATGCAGAGAACAAGTTAACTATGTTAACTTACATTTAGGTGAACGTGATAAGTATGACAGATAGCTTGTGGTAATGGGTGTATACATTCAATGCCACAAAATGACAGATAATAACGTTATCTGGTAATTGAGATATAAATTCAGCATTTCAGCTAGTTAGCCGATAGGTGGTTGTACGTGCTTGTTGAAATAAATAGTTCCAAAAACCATGCTTGAGAGGCGAAAAGTACAAATACACAGCGTATAAACAAGTAGTCTTAACAAGTAAAGAACGAAAAGGGGAGCGAGAACCATATCAGTTTAGGTTCTACAGAACCAAATGATAGGAGGGAGAGTACACACGTCAGATGGAGATGGAGTATCATGCTAATATTTGTTGCAGAATCTGGAGGTATCTAGACAGCATAATGCTTGATCAATGCAGAAATCATTTTCTTTGTCTCGTTTTCCAGTAGTTGAACTTCGAACTGTCTTCACCCGTCTATTCCGCCGACTGCATGAGTTTGAAGAAGGAAAATAGAATACATACCAGAATCATGTGGGGAATCGATTTGGTGGATACCAGTGACCCTTTCGATAGAAAACGGTGATATCTCAACTTGACTCATCTCCATATTAGCAGCCACCAGTTTGAATAAATAAGGGAGCATAGAGGCTATGGGCTGCAACTCGTCCACAAGCCTGGTTTCGTTGATGAGGGCCACATTGCAGTCCAAAACAAAGATCTTTTTGGCTTTCAGATCTACAGCTAGTGTCACCCAGTGCCGCTGGTCAAAGTTGAAAGGTAAGTAGACGATGTCAGCCTCCTCATACAATTGCACACGATCGACATCGTCTACGCCATTAACCATATCTATCACCGATTTGGTGAAAGGGAATTCTTCTCTAGCAGGGGATTTGATGAACCTGGGGTATAACTTGGTTAACTGAGAAACGAATTTTGTGTCTAGAAGTTCAACTCTCAGCCCTACACCATCCTCCATGTCGACTCGCAGCATGTGGCGCGAAAATCGTATGAGCCCATCCATCACCTGACAATAACACAGATCCGTCAAATACAGTTACGCTTACTGTGTTTTATTTATCTCATGTGAGGGGTGTTTTTCTTCCTTTCTAATGCACTAAATACCTTGGCAGGGGTGTTTTTATTTCTTTATAATAGATCGATGAAGTCTTTCGCTGACAACATCATCAGATTTCCCAAGTTCAGTGATCTGTCAGAGGAGCCAGAATTAGCCAACACTGATAAATTGGTGTCTAGTTAAGTAGTTCAGGGACAAACCTTTTTACTGTCCCAATTGCCAATCGAACTTTCTCATCCAGTTTTCTGGCCTTGGCGACACCGGCTTCGGTTTCGTGACCTATGAGTGTCTTCAATCTCTTGTCACATTGGAAACGGTCGTCTATCCTTGAGGAAACAACATGGGGGCGCTTGCTTTTCCTAGTGTAATCAGGTATTGATTCCCCCAAAACGCTGAAACAACCTCCAACTTGATTTAGTCCCTGTCCCAGCATGAAAAGTATGAGAAATGACAGATACCTTTGTTATCTAATTTGAAATATATTCTTCCAAACATTATCACACCTTCTTCACAGCGGTTGTCTCATCAGCGTCCGCATCGACTTCCTTTATATTCTCCGTCTCTCCAATCCCCTATATAAAATTGTAAAATCATTAGCAACGCTGGCCTACATATTCATAGGTATAGGACAATAATGTTAACCTGATAAACAACTAAGGCTAAGCTGGTTGCTGTTCCCTCCGAGATAATGGTTTCATTGTCAGTATGGCTGACACCCTCGGGAGGAGTTAGGACATTGGACCCGTCGCTGGCACCACCGTTAATATTTGCAGCATTGATTTTCTATAAAAACAAAACAAAAATTGGTAACATTATTACATGTTAAATCGGAAAATTTGTAAACGCAACAAAAAATGTAAGTAATGTTATAACATATAATATGTAACTTACAGATTTTACCCCCTTTTTACCCTCCTCGACGCATGGTGTCTGAGTTTTGTCTCCCCCTTTGCAAACATTATCCTACATATAGCATTTGTCATGAGAACTATATTTTCAAGATAATAAGTATCAAGTATAACTAAGTTAGCGCTGAATAAGTTATCTAACATTTATAATACCTCAGCAATATCTCCCACCAACTGCTCCTTAATCACTTCTTGTACCCGGGTGGTATTTCCTCCCACGACCATCGGTTGTGAAATATCATCAGTACTTCTATCTCCATCCTGGATATCAGTGTTTGCACCATCACCATCCTCGTCCTCGTGAACATTGGCCTGAAACAAAAATTTTGGACTTCAATAACAGCTGCACAAAATCTTTCCTTATCACCGTCAGTTAAGCTACCTACATTACATTGACCCTGACAGCTAGATAATCATGATAATAAAGTCTCATGGATAAGAAAGTTAGCGCTAATAAGGTTAACTACAAATAATGAAACCTCTGAATAATATGCAGCTATCTCTTCCACTGACTGCTCCTTGCTCACTTCGTGGACTCGGAGGGTGTTTCCTGCCACGTCCATCGGTTGTGATGGATCATCGGTACTTCTATCGGTCGTGCTCATGAACATTGACCTGGCACAAAATACTATCATTTTCAATGACAGCTACCCACCATCTCTCCTTTCCACCGTCAATTTAGCTACCCATAGTTCATATGATAAAAATTTGATATACCTCGATTCCAAAGGCGTTGGTGTCGTCTGGATTCCCGTCATCAGCAGTGGAGTTGTCTTCCCCAGCCGAAGGTGAAGTTGGATTCCGAGGAATCGGTGTTTCCGCGATCATGGTATTAACACGATTAACATTGTCCCTATGGACCCCATTCAGCGCGGCTGCTTGGGAATGACAGTCTATATTTACATGATTTTCAGTTTGTGTCTCTCCATCTTTGTTGGCACCGTTAACGGGACCTCTCCGCCTCGCCCTATTGCCATCATTTTCACCGGCTGAGGCTGAGTCGTCAGACACCGTCTGGGACGTATAACGTTCCTCTACAACAGTATTATCAAGAAACCAGTCCTGCAAGTCTGCAAGCAAAGCTTTGTTATTTTCCTTGAGTATGGCACTGAATATTGTTATTTTCCTTGAGTATGGCACTGAATATTTCTCTGAATGATGTCATGCTCTGCTAATTTTTCATCGAGAAGTCGTGACAATCTGTCTTCCTCGGTTGTGGAAGTAGATGCCACCGAACGTTTCTCCTTCCCTTTGAGGTTCTTGCCAACAACGGACCTCCCTCCAACGGACCTCCCACCAACGCCTCTCCTTTTTTTTACTTTGACAGCGATTTCGGATGGTTTTTTTCCACCAGTGAACATTTCACTCGTGAACTTGAACCCTTCAGCTATCAGTTTCAAGATCTTGTCGATCTTTGGATCAGCTGGGTCGTCCGCCCAACTAAGGTCTTCCTCATCTGAATCAAATTCAACCTCCGGCCGAATAATGCATGTCACTGGATCATGTAAGGTAGCAAGTAGAAATGGAGTGAAAATGGCTATAGCATTCTATTGGTACTTATTATACTGGATGACTAAGTTCTCATGATAATGTAATTATCGGCATCTTTTTGTAATATTACAGTATTTCATTTCAAAAGTCATAGTTAACCATTTCAATTGCTATTCTGTTCCACATGTTAGCACTATAATCTAAGTACCGATAACATTGTTAACGTTTTGATCAAACTAGTTCTGGGTTACTATTACATTCCTTCTTTTCATTGCAACACAGTTACCTATATCTAGGCATCCTCCTAATAGATATCAATGTTAGCTATGATGTAAGTCATCTAGGGAGAAATAGGGAATTAATCTTTGCAACTATCGAATGGCGGTAGATGAATGCTTTTACCTCACAGGCCTCATCGACCTCACGCGCATGACTTAGTTTCAATTGAAGATGATGACGCTGATGTGGGATGAAATCATCGTCTGAGTCCACCTCTCCTCCACCTACGGGATTCAGACAATCACCGATTGCTGGGACAGCTTCAGAAACAACTAATTGAAGAGCAGCGAACAACCCTTGTACAGCGACATTTGCTTTTGCAAGTTTCCGCAAATCTAAACCCTTTATCGAGGTTATCATCATATCAAACGATAACCTGCCCCATGGATATTCCATAAAGGTCTCTAGATCCTCAGTCATTTCCGCATGTTCTTTGACAACTCGTACACGAGGGTAATGAACAGTTGGAACGAGGATTCCATCGACCAGGACAAGACATGCCATCCTCAATCGATTCTCTTTACTCAGGTTTCTTTTAGCTTTCAGAATAGCGATTACTCTCTCCACGGTGACATCTTCTTTCTTATCGAATAGTCTATCGTACATAGGATAGTTAGCAGACTTCCTCTTCTTGGACAGATCCACCGGAAACCTCCCACAGTTTAGATCAGTAACAATCTTGAACTCTCGCAAAGAGAACCTAATGGGATGGCCGGCGAAGAATATCCATATCTCGTTCTTCCGTTTCACTCTAACTGACGGGACAACAGGAACAACCCAAATGTTCCTGACCAAGCCGGCATTGAGGGTATATCCAGTAATTTTGCCCAGTGGAGATTGACGAATGAAATCAATCTCGCCTTCGTCCAACGCCGAAATAAGATCCTGAATAATGCTGAATTTTTGGTATGTAATGACTCTCTGACCCCAAGGTTGATCGCCGGCCGTTATAATCCTCCTCGGTAAATCGTCTTCTTCCATCTGAGAGGAGGACGAACTCAAAATCGTAAATAAGTGACACTGATAACAGTATTATCTCGGTTAACAGTAATCGGGTGTTACCTTTATTTCTGATTATGTCTTCGATCAACGATGTCGACTCCTTATTCCTTCGATTAAACTTAAAAGTCGGGAACTTCTCCTTCTAATGTCCGTCGGCGATAAAAGGATGGTGGAGACTTTCAATTTCTATTCACTCTGTAAACTGAATAGAAATTTTAAGTAGACCGCTTAACCCTAGTTCTTTTCAATTTCTCCCCCATGTTTTATTTTCTTATTATTTCGATATGTTCTATATTCTGTAAACAAGATTTTGCTATCGGTAATGTTGCGAACACGCAACCTCTAATAGGGTCTACTACTTTATGCGTTTGTGTTTTTGGATAGAGGTGCATTGGACTTTACACGAAGAGAGAGGGGATCGGAACAGTTCAATTTTTATGGGCTTAATTATTAAACTTTCTATGAGCATTCTATGCAATAACTCTAGAAATTATGACGAAAACAATAAAATAAACAGTTTTGTCTCGTACAGGTTTTAAATATAGTTAGTTGTTTTTATTCTGATAATATATGTTTAATTATTTAAAATTTATATGATTGTTAATTTTAGCCAAAAAACTTGGTAAGGAAACATACTTTCACGGGCTTTCAATTATTTCGTTAGTGGATGACTCTTGAGATTAACAGCACTGTTTTATAGTAATACAATAGTTGATGACAAAAAATATCGAATGGTTTTGAAATGGTGACCAGCAATTGTCAACCAAGTGTATGGGCTATGGACTTGTCAATTATTATTTTTATTATTATATAAAATAAAACTGAGACCAGTAAACATTAAAAAGAAAGTCAAACAATCATCTAGGCAAATGTAGAATGGTGGTTGTTTGGATCGTTTGACAAAATATTAACACAAGCTTAGGTACTTTACTTCTTTTATTGAAATACTGGTTAGTTGTCTAATAGTCGATCTGATCTTAATTAGTTGGCCTAAAGCACTAACTACTCGAGTGAGATGCAGACTTATATAATATATATTTTATAAACTTTCAAAGCAAGCTAAATTATTTTAATTTTGTTCTTTAGTGCAGTTTTCTGTTTTTAATTTGGACTCAGATATACAGTTGGTAGTGGTACCAACCAAGCTCATATTGATTTGACGACTTGCAATGGCCTTGTAAATCATGTAGTGGCGACATTAGTGCATATTCTGTCAAAATAATGATTTGTACCTTGTATTTAAAAGTTGAATCAGTGAACTGAGTGTAATAATAGGTTGGTATATGCATGATGAAATTCAAATGGGCTATAGTAAGCAATTAAAAAGACTTTTTTTTTTTGGTTTTACAAATAGAAATTTATAACAATAAAGAAAAAACCTAAGTAGAATAGGTATGTGTAGTCATTTGGAAGTAATTGAACATTAGGAATGCGTAAAGAAGTTAAGAGAATGTTACAGGAATGAAAGAAAAACAAAAACAAAAACGTAGCATCCTAATGACCCTATGAGTTGAGAAGAAAACAGAACGGGACAATGAGCAATGCGATGGTTCAACAACTCCCACTTAGATTCCAACAAGCAATAGTTTTCACTTTTGTAGTAGCTCTCTTTCTTTGATGTATTAGGTCATCAGATATAAATTATAATTCTTTAATTAGAAGTCGTTCAAATATTGACAAACGAATAGGTATATATAAATGTATGTATAGATATAGTTTTGTCTCTTTTTGTTTTCGTTTTTCTCGGGTCATTACAAATATAGTAACCAAAGATTGTTTTACCCTGTGACTTCTCTTGTGTACATGTCATTTTCCACTTATTACATTTTGTATATATTAATTATCAAAGACTCTTTGTTTCACCACCTTTTGGAGATTGATGTTCTTTAGGTAAAATACATTGTGAGAAGTTATCTATAAATTGGAAGGTACTTATAGTCGTTTTGAATTAATTTTAAAGCATCTTTATTAAATGCTAAATGAAATCTCTTTAAAAAAAATCGATTTTATATTGAAGAATATCAATTTATTTTTATTTGGTTTTGATTGATAACATTATAGAAAATACCGTAAAAAAATAGTATAGAATATTAAAAGAGCAAAAGATAAATTTTTTTATTGACCTTTTCTTATGTTAACCAATAAGAGTGTGACATCTAATATTACATTTAAATATTTTTGATGGGAAAATTAAACCTTAAATTAGAAATAGTAAATTCAAACATACTGTTTAAATTTATTTTAAATTTTATTTTAGATAAACAAATATTTTTATATAATTTTTTGTTATTTTGAAATTTGAAATTTAGGGTGCTAAATTTGAAAAAAATATTATTTTAGGATATTCTTCAATTAAAAATTTAAAATAAATAAACAAAACAAATTAAAAATATATAACTATTAAGCCTTTTGTTTTATTTAAAGTTTAGGGTTGAATTTCATTTTTTTATTCTTAGTAAGTTATATTTTTAATTTTTTTAAATTTATTTTATTTAAAAATGAATTTTATATTTTATTTAAATATAATATTTAATGTCACATTTTTATTGGTTAAAATAAAAAGAGATAAATAAAGTGGTTTATTTTAAACTGAACCCAAATTTTTTTCTAAAATTATTAAATGATCTATTCATTTTTATGTCTGTTCGCAGAATAACTAAAATACAAACGATTCTAAGATAAATTATTAATAGTAAAACCATCAAATCAATATATATATAAAAAAAACAACTAATGGCATATTGGCATCCCTATGTTTGACATTATAATGCTTTGACATTATTTTTATCTTTGGAGTAATATTTAATAATTCAATCGTAAAAACGAATTAATTATTCTAAATATTTCTCGATAATTTTATGTTCATATTTATATTATTGATTATAAGACAGAAAGATATAGATTTTTTTTAATTAATTCATACCAACTGATTCAACTAAAACATTTTATAAATTTTTTTTGTCGTAAACATTTTATAAATTAACTCAACTACTATGTAGTACAGTATTATTATATATTTTAGCATTTTGTGAAAAAAGTTTTAATAGTTTTACGTGAATCGATATCCCACGTAAAATGTTGTGCTTTTAATGCAAAAGAGAAAGTCTCTAAATACAAAAAAAAAAGCTTAAAGGTTGATAAAGGCTAAGGTGATGATGTGAGATTCTCTCTCTAGGGTCAAAAAGTTATCCCAATTCTCTTACAGTCTTTTTCATCTTTTTGCTCTTTCTCTGTGTGTATCTCTGTGTATGCGCGCGTGAGAGAACAGATTAATAGAAAAAAAAAAAACAAAAAAACATCAAATCTTTGCTACATATCTTTGGTCGTATCCGTATATATGTTGTTTCTTCTGAAAGAAAACTTAATCGCTATCGGAAACTCAGATTTGTTTTTCAATGGTGGAAGAAGACAAGTGATGGTTTTTTATTTGGAGCTTAGTTTCTTATGATTCATAAATCTGAAGGAAAATTACACTAAAAGGCTGTTTCTTTCTCTGTCTCTAAGCCAAAATACAGATTCTTCTTCTGGTTTTCTATTTGAGATCAGTACAAAAGTGAGCTTTGTTTCTAACTTCTAATCCTGATTTTAAAACCTCCACGCTTCTTCAATCAGTCAACGATTTTTGTTTATTTGGTTACAGGAGATTCCTTAGTGATGGGATTTGAAGACAAGAAAATGCAGAGTCAGAGACACAATCGTTCGAAGAGGTTTGGCAATTTCCCAACTTTTCTTCTTTAGCGCTGTTTCAGTTTTCTTGCGTCATTCTCAAATTCGACAACTTGGGTATTTAAAATCTGCCCAGATGCAAAGTGATTTCTCTCTAGATGGGTCAAAGCTTGGGTCTTTGTTAAAGAATTTAAGGTTTAGGACTTAAAGGTTGAAGCTTTATGTACTTCTCATAGAATGTGGTTTGGTTTCTGACTAATTTTGCTCAGAATCTCTGTTTCTCTTTTCTGGGTATCAACTGTTTTTGATTGATTCTTGACATCTTGATTACTTATTTTAGCTGGACTGTTCCTGAAAAGAAATGTCTTGAAGAGGATAAAAGCATTGATTGTTCTCTCAATACTTCTCAGCGCTTCAAGCTCGTGAGTTAAACCAACAATTTCCTTTTGAGTTTATGATTTTCAAAATTATGGATTTAGTTTCTCTAACTGTTTTTTTCTTTTCACAGGACTTGCCTCGCTGCTGCGATAAATCTGTTGAAACGAAGAAGAGTCTATCGCCAGATGTTAAAGTCCAGAGCTCTCTGAAGCAAGAGGTTTGTATTTGAACTTCTGTGTGGCTCTCTATACACTCCAAGATCATTGTTTCACTCACATAAATTAATTTCTTTATGATTCTTGGTTACATACAGATTCAAGAGCTTGAGAAAAGATTGCAAAACCAGTTTGATGTCCGTGGTGCTTTAGAGAAGGCATTAGGCTATAAAACACCTTCTCGAGACATTTCAAAGGCTGACTCTACTCCAAAGGTAAATAATCAGTTTCTTATGTAAGTAAGTGATGCAAATGCTGATGTTGTGCAGCTCACGAATGATTTTGTATTTTGCAGCCTGCAACAGAATTGATCAAGGAAATCGCGGTGCTAGAGTTGGAAGTGTCGCATTTGGAACAGTACCTTCTATCTTTGTATCGCAAAGCATTTGATCAACAATCATCTTCTGTATCTCCAACATCGAAACTACAGAGCTCGAGCTCACCTAAATCCACTCTCAGAGGAAAACGTCTAGACTTCTCAAGAACACCTGAAACTCGGTGTTTCTCCTTTGACAACAGACTGAAGAGTCCGTGTTTGGTCCAGAAGGAACCAGATTCTCATAGCCTTAGATGCAGACAAGAAAACCCAGCCATTGAATCTCGGTGTTTCTCCTTTGACAAAAGGCAACCCGGTTCTGCTGGTCGGCAACTCAGTCAAGAAAGCTCAACAATCGATTCTCAAGGTTTCTCCTTTGACAATAGGCTCAAGGAACCATGTTC